CCCCAAAACCCCAAAACCCCAAAACCCCTTTTATAAACCAATTAGTTGATCAATTTAAAATAATTAAAAATGATCTTCTTTATCCAAGATTTCTCTACGATACCTTTATTATGAATTATCTGAGTAATCTCCTTAGCCGGCTATTTAACCATTAAGATCATAGCAATGCCAATCCTGATTAGGTGGAAGTACAAAAGATATCATAGCGTGAGATTTAGTCCTTCTGCAACTTTTTTCAAAGGAGGCCATGCGCATGTAGAGAAGAATTTTGATGATGACAAGTTTGCATATTGGTATTATGCTGAATATGCTCTATCAGATTCAAAACCAGATGTTTACATGAAATTCATTAGACCAACTCCAATGCTTATGATGTTCTCTCTTAAAGCTTTAATCGAGATAAAGCAGCTTTAGCCAAAGAAGATAGACAGATATAATATCTTCATAGATAAGCTGATTGAATTTTTTTATAGAAGTGTCTCACAGTGACTGTCCAATGCTCATTGGAAGATGAGAAAGCAAAGTGCAATGAAAGCAGTGGCATAAACTTCACATCAGGATGTATCCAAAAATTGGTTCAATTAATGAAAGAAGTAGCATCTTAGTGGAGAGAAGGAAAGATCATTGACTTCACTGAGAAGTTTTCATACATCCAGTTTATTTTCATATCCAAAATGTTATTTGGACAAGAGTTTGATCTCTCTAATTGTATGTTAGAATACTAAAACGAAAGAAAAAAGTGAAATTGAAGAGATCAGCAGGCACGATATGATGAACAGAATTGTTGAAGATACTCTTTGGGGTTACTTCAGTCCTCTTGGCATCGTATTTCCGTTTATAAACGACAACAACCTTTGAAAACCTTATTGGAGAATTATGAAAAATGTCAGGAGGATGGAAAATGGAATAAAAAAATTCTTACAGAAATTTGATGGTAAAGATTTTCTGTATTGGAAATTAAAATCTAAGAAAGTCCACACAGAACAAAAACTAATGGCAGATTTGTTTCGCATGCTATTTGCTGAATCTGATGCAACTTCCCAGACAACATCAGGAATACTATATTTTTTCAAGAAGAACCCAGGAGTTATAAAGAAGTTTATGAGAGCAGGGGATCACTAAAAAAGGAGTCCTTCTTCAAAAGAATTAACTTATTAAAAATATTTTTGATGATTGTGAGTATGCAGATTATGTTATTAAACAAGCTATGAGACTTAATCTACCCACTTCTTAGACAGTCTCATGTAGAACATTAGAGAATTTTGAAATCTAAGGAGTTCCCATACCAAAAGGGAGCTTAATGAGTATCAGTATTTCGGGTTTCGATACAATCTAAAATATTGCCATGGGCCATTAAAGTTCATCCTTGGAAGATTTAATTCTGAATTAGAGTATTTTAAATCACCATTTACTGGAAAAGCAAGAGACTCACTTTGATATATTTCTTTTTGAATCAGTCTTAGAAGTTATCCTGAACAAGCCTGTGCAAAGCTGACTCTCAAAATAGCTCTCCCCTTGTTATTATCAAACATTGACTATTGAATCAACGATGAAATATTGGAGAACGATCAGGTGATATTTAGGACTTCTCCCAATATTCCAGTGTCTTCAAAATTGTACAGAATAAATTATGGAAAATCTAATTCAGTAAAAGGATAAACAGTGTTTTTTAAGAGTTTAACTTTAAAGGTTTACAGATAAAAATTGTGACTTTAAATATCATTATCAGAGAACAAAAATACATAAAAATGTAATAAAAATAAATCACCTAAAATTAATTGCTGAGATCTGAGAAGCTGAAAGTTTGTGATATTATTCAACCATTTACCAAGGTCTGGGGTTTTGGGGTTTTGGGGTTTTGGGG